ACTTCTGTATCAGCATTATTGATTTGAGACTATGTCGCCAGGACGCGGACATCAGCTGTATAGCTGTGGTAGTGTTTGTGCCAGCGCCATTGATTTTTTATTCAAATCCAAACTGAGTCGAGTTGAGGCTCACAAAGCTGTCTGTTTGTGCACATTACTGCGACGTCACACGCGATGGGACAAGCAGCTTCGAGCAACAGAGGAGGAAAAAGAGGATCGAAGAAATGCGTCAAGGTGAATTTTAACTGCATCAAGAGTGCGAACAAAATGCCTGTGTCAGGTGGAGGCGATATTTGTGATGAATCCTGTGTGGAACATTGCGAGCACACACCACTTCCCCTCACCGATCTAGACAAATCCATCACAACGGCTGTGTGCGATTGCGCAAGAGAGCCTCCAACTGAAGTCGATGCTAACGAGGCACTCTTTGACAACTTTAGCCTGCATTGTGTCCAATTCAGAGTGAAGGCTGCCGAATCAGGCGTCTTGGCCACTGACCACATCTATGACGAGGTCTACGAATCAAGCAGCCACATCTACGATGAAGTGTATGACTCGAATAGCCTAAGCAGTGAGGAGCGTGTGTATGATGACCTGTACGAATCGAACAGCCTGAGCTGTCACTCCTACCACTCGCAAGTAGGAAGAACCGACGCTGACTCTCCCAGGCCGTGTGTCAGAGCCGTGAGGTAAGTGCTTGCTCTGCAAATACTTTCCCTCGCACCAGTAGATAACCTGCTTTCTTATGACAAAAACAGCTACCTCGTGTTTGCGTCATTGTAGTTCGCCTTTTGTGATCATCGGATAGTGCCTGGGGACTGGTCGTTTGTTCAACGCACCACGGCGCCACGTTCAATTTCAACCCTCTAAATGCACACAAGCAGATATACCTCGTGGTGAGTGGCGTGTGATGCGGTTCCGGCGTTGAGCCTAAGTACACCTTGACGACGCGCCTGGGACTGGTGGAATTGCGCAATGCCTGTTAAACGAGGAAACGCCGACGCGATGTTGATGTTTAATGCAACTGTTCTGACGTTATCATTTCATTGTACAAAGCACGTGGTTGTTGCAATTTGTTTATATTTGTGAAAACGTGTGGTTGGTTGTTAGAACGGCCATGGCACACTCTTCTACTGCCTCCGATTTCTGCGGCGTTTCTGAATGGTTATTAAAAGTTATGTGTGTATGTGTGTGCGTGATTGAGTGTGTGTGTGTGTGTGTCGACGAGAGCATTATGTGCTAGGTGAAACTTGGTAGACGAGATTGTATAGTGGGTCAAATGAAATTTGATGAAGCTGAGACCAGGCGTAATCCTTGCTTTTGATGAGCCATCTGATAAACTGATCGCTGAGATATTTTGCGCAAACGAGTTTTGTGTTGAGGCGCAATTTCTTCGTACTGTGCAAGTTTTATTTGCCAATTTGCATGCGATAGTGTGCTTAGCTTAAGCCAGTTAAAGTGCGATGCTGTTACGTTCACCCGTAACAAAGAGGAAACCACTCAAATAACGGTACCAGATCCCTAGCTGAAGCCAGAACCGACCTTCCCAGGCTACTGCAAGAACAAGTTCGGAGCTCGTGTAGAGAGCTGTATTCACGTCAGCCACGTTTGGAGTGCAGTATCGAAAGTGAAACAAATTCAAGTCAGGGTTGATCTTGACTTAATATAAAAGCTTATCAAAACAAATGTTAGTGAATAAATGTAAATAGTATCAGAAACCAATCTTGGAGAATCGTGGATCCCCAACGGAGGCCACGTTAATTGAAGTCGATATGGGGCCAGCTATATAGTTTTTATTTAACATTATTGGCAACTGAAACGTTACTTTTGCACCATTGTGAGAGTTTGAGGAGATTTGATGCTTAGATATCAAGTTTTCTGTCTGGTATTATGATCTTAAT